GCCCTGTTGTACTGACTGCAGAGGGGGCCTTCTATGTACTTCCACACAGTGTCAAAATATGATTGTTGAGGTTCTGTTAGAAGAACCTCCTTCATACATTATTAACTATCATTGACAAATATGTAAACTAAATAAATGGAAGTTATTCCTTTTTGACAGTCATGTTTATTAAACAGTGGGAACTGGGTTTGATTTGAGAACATAGGAAGAGTCTAAGAACTAGCACATCTTGAGGTGTGCACAAACAAGCCAGCGTAGATATTTTTCTAGGAAAGTATGAGACGCTTATAACCAGTCTTTGTATTTGTATAGCTGTATGTTTGCTTTCCTTTTTTTCCGTGATTTGCTTTGAAATTAAACCATCAAAACTGCCAAATTAAGTACGTTAAACTCTGGTGATAAGCCATTTAGAAACTGTAGAGAAAGGAATAGTCGGAAATGAATAAAAACCTTTCCAGCATTTAGGTTGTACTAACAAGAAGCGATGCAGATCTTTACTAGGATGAGCTGATGTACAGAAAACGTTAGGCATCTCAGTTAAACTGACCAATTATAACGTTTACCCCTGCAGCTACTGAAGTGATTTTCAGGATTGACATTTGCCTGTTAGTATTATATCCTAGTAGATATAATCTGTTGCCATCCTCTCCAGCTATATCATATTAAACATTGATTATTTAGTACCTATGTTTTGCTAATGGGGAGGCAGCATTACTTGGTTGTAGGCTGGACATATTTAAGAAGATACTGCATTGAGCAGAATCAAAGAGAATAATAAAGCTACCAGCATCTCTGTACAATTTGGGAGTCCCTTAAATAGATTTATATTAATTTTATTTCACAAAGTCCTTGTTATTCTTTTATTCATTTAGCAACTTACAGGATACATTTTTCAAATACTGCACAGACAAATTAGGCATACAGTAATAGACATTCACAATAGTGTGAATGTTTCTCTGCTAAATCCCCAAAGCACAAAAGGCTAAACATTTACTCTAGAGTGTCTGACAATAGGGAGTTCATCACATATTTTCCATATATTACTGAAATAGAGGGACTTTGTTCTTACCAGCTGCTTTTCGTGGAAGGAACAGAAAATGTAAGGGGAACTCCAAAGTCTGTATGTCCACAGTTACTGTCTTCTTCAGTTCTCCTCTCCAGTCTCCTTCCATAAAACAGCACATTTATTTAATATCAAATATTTCAGAATAATTCTGCAAGATCTTATCATCCCTACTCAGGAAAGTTATGACGATGACAATTGTATGAACTTGTGTAGCATACAGTTTGTTTCACAAGCCATTTCTCAGGTCAATGTTATAACTTTGAGGAATAAGGTGGTAGAAGTCCTGGAAACAGATACAGAAGCTCATAAGTTTGAAGACCTTTTAAAGCTTTCATAGACTGTCACTCTGCATAATGTCTGTGCAGGGACATACCAAAAGCAATGGTAGAAGGATGAGGTTTTCTGGGGGGGGAGTATGAGGGCATAATCATTCCTCTTAGAGAGTGAATGTATTTGCAAGTTGTTAACAAATATATACGCTAAGAGGAGGAGGGTAAATTTCTGAGTTTGGCTGTGGCTAGACGGATGCTGGTGTCCAAGTCCCTGTTAAAGCTAGTAGTCACTTCTCTAAAGATATATACAACAACTATCCTATCTTAGAGTGATACCAGAAAGCTTTAGCTTTGAAGCAGCTGGGCAAAGGTATAAGAGTTTCCATAACTGTTTCCAAGCAGCTTAGTAGGATTTTGGACTAACGCGTGCTTCTAGAAAAGGCTATGTTACAGCCTTTTCTCATATGGCCAGAGGGCAGGCACATGGAGATGGTCAACACTGGCCCACTTTCCAGAGCTGGCAGGGTTGAACTAACAGAGCAAAGCTTAGCCTTAGCTGTGCATGCACGTGGGATCTCCTTCACCCACCTTGTTCCTCCCAAACCCTGCTGGATTTATCTCAGACCTTAGTCCTTTCTGAGCAGCTGATTTTCCAGCCTCTATCAAATCTTATATTGACTTGTTACATGGACATCGAGCTTGCATCCGCTGAGGGCATCACGGTAATGGGTGAAACCTTGGAGGAGGGCCTAAGAGATGGTGGCTACTCACTCCTGGGCTGTGCTATGCTTGCAGGGTTAGGAGCAGATCCTGTTAATAGATGGGGAGACGTAATTAGTGGGCTCCGCAAAACTGCAGAGGCCTCTTAGGTGAGGTGCAATTAGCAGGCAACACTTCAGAGGACTCTTAGGGTGAGATGTAATTAGTGGGCTCTGCAAAACCGGGGAGGGCTGCAACAAAATTCCCGCTTGCTGAAGCCGCTCTTCTGGAGATAACCTGCGCTGGTTTCGTGTCGTGGGAGGGATTGTTGCCTCAGTGCCAGCTTTGCCGCTGGAGAGTCTGGCAAGTCAGGCTCTGCGCATGGTGATGGAAACCCAAAGAAGTGCTGGGGAGGCTCTGTTTGCCTGTGCCTCGCGGCGAACGCTGCTTTGCCTTTCTGTGCCCTTGTCCTTTTCAGTATTCTGGAGGAGCACTCACTGCAGTAACATGGGCCAGTGTCACTCTTATTACTTTACCTGTTTTATCTTTTGTGAAATTGAGCCTTTAGCCAGAATTGTCTGAGCTGCTGCTCCAGCAGTCGGTTAACTGTGAGGCTCGGCGAGCTCATTTCTCTCAAGTAATTTGATTCCCACGTGCTCCCTGAGATTGCTTTTTCGCTGAGAGGGAAGCAGGGAGGGGCGCGCGGGGCTAGGGGAGCCGAGCAGAAGCCTTTTGGACCGACTAATGCAGCTTAGAGATAAAAACAACGCAGAAACGCGTTTCGAAAGATTCCCATCTCGCTTTAACCCAGTCCCGTAAAACCAAGCGTTTCCCCGTTGGCGGGGCAGCCGCGCTGGGCCCTTTGTGCGGACGCGGCGCCCGGAACGGGAGGCGAAATTCCAGGCGCCGCGTCCGGGTGAAGCCACAACGATGATTCGTTCATGGAAATTACCAGAAATGTGTGTAAAATAGTAATTAGAGGGATTATAAGATATTTTCTGAAATCGTAGGCAGAATTCGAGGTCTTTTATTTTGGTCGCCGAACTGTTTCTTTGCCAGAATGGTTACTCAGGGTGCGTAATTGAGCACCAGCTTTGTAGATAAGCTGCTCTTCAAGGCTGGTTAGTATAGCTGCAGCTTTCCAAATAACGTACAGTTTATGCAGAGATTTATGATTCTATAAAATTGCCGGTGCTTTATCACAGCTTTGGGCAAATACCCTGCTGCAGGGAGCAAAAACCAAGCCTGAGAAGTGAATCTTGCTGGAGGGAGAATTCTTCATCCGCAAATAAGCCATTCTGTGCATAAACGCTGCCGTATCAGTTATCCGAAACGCGTGTTTCTCCCTCTGCGTGGTGTTCGTTGTACGTCCAGGCAGATCTACCAAACTCGGGGTAGGGAATTACTGTGTTATAAAGTACTGGTTTGTTAGATAGGATGTAATTAATTTGAGCAGATGGTCTGCTTAGAGGTCTGTTACGTTATATGAGCAAAACGAGGCTTTTAGACGGCCTGGCTTTGGGTTCTGTTAGCATTCGTTAGTTTGTGGCGTAAGACATACGCTTTGATAATATCGGCGTCGTTATTAAATGTCATAAGAATATATGTTCCCAGCAGCAGTGGAAGTATCCACAGTAACAGCTGTAGGATCTTTGCTAGTTTTCCATCTTGGACCTGCAAAAAAAAAAAAAAAAAAAAGATTATGCTGAGATTATGCTGTACTGTGACATGTGTGCAAAGGAAGCACGATGCTGAACGTCGGTATTAGCTATGCATTGACTGTTTTAACCTGCTACTCTTAGATAATGGATAGTTGTCTTTTGTCACCTCAGGAGCCTCACAAACCGAGTCCTGTTGTGAGCGTAATGGTTTGGGACATGGCGCAAAGAGGGCTGAGAGGTCTGGCTTGTTTTTTGGTGTATTGACTACTCTAGCGGTACCCAAGTTGCGAAAAGGGTGAAGGAAGGCGTAGGTGTGCAGGATAATGCGCTGCATCAAGAAACTGGGCACATTCACTAATCTGTGCAGTGTCTGCACTTCAGTTTGTAGCGGCAGGGTAATGAATAACGTTTAAAAAAAAAAAAAAAAAGCACTACGCACGCAGCCCTATGCCAGATTTCAGGACCGTTTCTGTGTAGCCCCATTGCTCTGCCTGCAGCTCCACCTCTTCAAAGGCTGCTCTATTAATCTAACCTATTCATACAGCTTATGGGTTTTTATTTTTAAGTCCTCACAGAAATGATTTGCTGCCCTCCAGTTAGGAATTTAAAGGAAAATTAAATTAAGGCTGCCTAAGTAATGAAAGCATCTTTAGATTTGATAGATAGAGATCATCAAAGCAGAAAGTCTGTATCCCTGGAAAGAGTTTTGATATTGTTTAGTGCTGGGGGGAGTTACCATCTCTAGTATATCATGAAATATCAGGCCTTAAATTCATACGCTCATGCTTCATGAATTCTTTAATTTTTAAAGTTGTTCATTAAGTTTTAGGTCATAAATTAACAGATTTCTAAATCAAATAGGAAAATTATTTCCATCCTTCTGAGGCCTGCAGCACTGGGATCACAGTTTTGTGTAGTTTTACTGACAGATGAATTAAAGAAAGAAAGATCTTACGCCTTAATAGACATCTGAATTTTTATTATATGCTATGAACTGTAAGCCTCATATTTGTTACTGTGATATGCGTATTTTATTGTTGCCTGCCTAGTATGACATGTGTGTAACTATCTATGGTTTCTGCTTCTCCTTGAACTGTGGGGCTTTCTTAACTAGACTTGAAAAAAAAAATCCAATTAAAAAAAAATCATTTAAAACCTTTTTACAAAATTGAAAAGAAAAGAATTGACCATCTCTAACACCAAACTACTGCTAGGGAAAAAGAAAGGGATGCATTTTCTTATCTGTATATAAAATATGTGTGCCTTGTATTTATTTATCCTTTCCATTTCTTCTGTTTTTAGGTTTTCCAAATGAGCCCGCAGCTGTCATTGCCCTTAACACTATTAAGGAATGGTTGAGCAAGAATCATAATGAGGTATGGAATGAAATACATATTTCCCAAACTGTTCAAGATTATGGTCTTTGACTCCAAAACTGGGAAAAGGGTAAACATAGACTTGATCCTTGAAGTGAACATGTAGTCTAAAACAGATCAAATCAGGTCAGTACAATATAGCCAGGGGACAATTGTTATATTTAAAAGCTGCATTGGAGTTAAAGGAAAATACCTTTGTTTGAAACCATACTGTGTGTTTCCTGTGTATTGTAATCTTTCCTGGCAAGTAGAAGGCTATTCTCTTTCTAAAACTGTTTCTGAGCGTCAGAGTTTTCATGTAGTAACGAGGACATTCTTGGAAAGGAAATGTATATAATAGTTGTCAGTGGAAACAGCCACCGAGGTCAATGGCTTTTTAGGGGGTCACTTTACAGTAAAGAGCTGTATGATGGTAGTATTTTTTTTGTCTTCATTAATTTTTGATTAGCGTTCCTTTCCTCTGGAACACTTGCTAAATATCTGATATAACTGTGAATTTTTAACAGGAGCAGTCGTCTTCCAGTGACAGTGTGATGGTGATTATTTTTACATGACAAAATGCTTTCAACAGATGATCTCCATATCCCCCTTTCCACTTTCTGTCTTCCTCTTCTTTTAGTTCTTAGCAGGCTGATGGAATATGTTCATAGTGTTGAGCTGGAGAAAAGCAGCAAAGAAGTGACAGAGCAAATAAAATAATCATGATGTCTTAAACTGAAGATATGCCTTGTTTCCTTATAATGACAGCCAGCAGACAGCTGGAGTTGTTCAGTATTTTTGTCTGAAAATATTTAACAAAGCATCCAGTGGAGAAGTGCTGGATCCAGAAGCGTAATTAGTAGTATAGTTCCTTTTGCAGTATATTTTGGGGGCTTTTTTTGTCAAAGAATCTGAAATGTAAAGGTATGATTTAGCAAAGGGGGTTTGTTTGGTTGGTTGCTTGGTTTTTTATACCAGCTTTGCATTGAAAAGAAATACTACTTTGAGATTTGAATGGTAAGTTGAGACTTTTGAACCTGAGTTCCAAAAAAATATGCTAAGGAGTGCGCCTGTTTGGACACTGACTCTTTGTAGTACCGAGCACTTGGTAGCTTCCTGTGACTTAGATGTTTGAGCAGTGAAGTAAGAGTTTTGGATGGACAGTCTTCATTAACACTACAGATGCCACTAAGTGTGGTCTTATCAGCCTAGCTTTAGGCTTATGTTTTTGAAAATCTGGTCTGTTTATATGTAATTTTTACCCACAAGTGTAAAGCTAGAAGCTCTGCAATTGTACTGCTTTGCCGCATCCTAATTTCACTTTATTGTGTGTTTACCACATAATTTAAAAAAAAATAGGCTGAAAATCCTGCTTGGTTCCAGAAGCAAGCTCTTCATTCTCAAAAGCTGAATATGCGTTATACGTACAACCCTTAATTGCTTTTCTCTTAATATTACAAGAGGCTTGACTTTATTTAGTAGAGTAGGCTGTGTATGAAAAGCATAGAAGTTTTCTGGATGAGGACTGTTTTCTTTCAGAAGTTGTTTTGCTCTGAGGTTGGGCCATTGCTTATTAGCTATGAAAAGACTTTCAGTACACACTTTGAGTCTTGCCTTTTTCTCCTTTTTCTGCTTGTGGTCTGAATTGGTGTGGAACCTCTCTTATGCCCTGCTGGTGACCCTTCCTGCTTTCTTCTGCTTACTTGCTTCAACGTTTTGCAGGTTCCCTCCATGCACTTCAGATAAACTCTTCCTCTTGCTCTCAGAAAGCTCCAAGTCCATCTTGGAAGGAGAAAAGGTTCACAGAGCGCAGCAGATAGCGATTGAATTGACAACCTTTATCGTATATCTTCTTGAATTTTGCTTGAGTTATCGCTTTGGAACAGGAATGTATTTCAATTTCTGTTTGCAAAAAGTCATTGTACTTATGGTCTGCACTGAGTAGGGTGAACTATTAGCACTGAATATGCGCAGTTCCTCCCTTCCCGCTTCTTGTAAAATATTTCCTTCTAAGTCTCAGCCGCCTTGGCTGTCTAGCACTTGTAATGCTAATGCTGGCTATATTGTGTTTCCCAACATCCTTGGTCAAAAACGCACCAAGTCGAGATTGGATGCATTTTAAGGCATGTGATGTGTACTTCATTGTTACATATCCATGAATATAGCAATTAAGAAGTAATCCCCAAGAGCTCTGGTTAATTTTTGAAAAAGGTAGAGTACTAGGTTTCGCTCAAGATATGTTTTGAGTGTAAAGCCATCCATAGTTTCGGCATCACTGGGTTGTTCCACCATTTCGCAATAAGCTTATATGCTGACTTAGGTTTTTTCAGGAAAGAAAAAAAATCCGTTTTCATACAATGAATGCTTTCTGTCTGTAAGGCTTTCCCACGATGTACTGAGTTGAGTTTTAGAATATGGCATACTAGCATGTTTTACATGTCATAAATATATTGGCAGTAAAATGAAAATACTTACCAATGCTGTCGAAGGTAGCAATAACTTAGGTTGCAAAAGGGATCGTTAAGAAGCATACAGGTGTTGGGATGCTGTTGTTTAATGCTTGCAACTATAACATAGCTGACTTAAATGAGTTGACAGCTCTATGCCAAATGTGAATCTGGTGCTTTGCATTTTATTTACATTTATTCTCTTCAATTTGGTTTTGGGTTTTAAGAAGTAAACGTATATATTCACCCAAAGCTTTCCCCAAATTTAGCTTGTCGTACTGCTATAGAAATGAAAGGGGACGTTCTGTATCAATAGTAGCTGTTACTGCAGATAACCACATTATACAGTCGTTTCTATAAACTTCTGTCATAAAGATAGAGCAACTCCCACTGCGCCCACTGGATATTTAAATTCTCATGTAGTTGCTTGGGAGCCAAAGCTTTAACGATTTGCCACCAGGGCAGCTTTCCGGAGGGATGCCCATGTTTCACTCGGGGTTGTCTCTAAGCAGAACCACTCCCCTGATGCCTGCCGCCTGCGCTGTCAAACTGAGCCAGTGTGTCCTGCTAACAGCCGAGCCCCGGCTGGGGCCTCCTGCACTTGGCTGTGTCAGAGTTCAATGAATCAAAGTCAGCTCCTTCCTTTCGTTCCTTCTTATGCAATCTGTCTTGTCTTTAACGGGGGAATCGTGTCTCTTTTTGACCCAGTATGTTCTCAGAGTCCAGGTTCTGATCCTTTACTCTCAAAGATGCTTGACAGTCGTTCGTCCGCTTGACAACGTCCAGTGCCACTTGTCCTAAATAAAATCTCTAACTCTTTGAGTGTAGGATGTGAAACTCTGAGGGAATTCAGAAAGTCTTAGTGCAGGATATAAAACCAAAATTATGGTCTATTCGCTAGGAATTGCGCCAACATGACAATACGCTTACTAAAAGCAGATAGGTAAATAAGATGGAAATCTGACAGATTTGTCAATCTTTTGTTGTGCTCCACAGCAGCAATGTCTTATCTCTCTCCCTGCATCCCAGGAAACTGTGACAAATTTGTGAAAGATAAGGCAATGCTGTTTTCTTCTCTCTACCTTCATGGAGTACTTCTCTTCTTTGATGCTATAATGAAGATTTTATCCAAGCCGGTATTAATTCAAAATATAAATAAATCAGTGTCTGCATTCCTTAGTCAACATGGGGGCCTGAAAATATAACCTACGTGACCCCACTCTTGCAAGCTGTGTTAGAGTCTACAAAGTTCTCTGTCATAGTGTTTACAAGAAAAGTGATTTGCATTTAATAAAAGGTTTTCTTACCCAAGCCCATTGTTGTGCTTGACCCCTCAGGTGTTTGTATAAAAACTTATTAGCAGTCTCAACTTTCAGCCCGCTCAGATGAATGTCTCATTACCATGCAAATGGAGTTAGCTCCTTTCGGAGGTTAATTGTTACAAAACAACACACAGATCTACTGTAATTTGCCGAACGCTAAATACCAACCGTGCAGGGCACCAACCGTCATAGTACAGCAGCCTAAAACTTAACTACCTAAAGTTCACTAGGGAAAACAGCAGTATTGTAAGTAGTGGTTTATACTTAGTTGTATGTAACATGCAGCACTCTTTTGGTCTTGAAATACAACTCTTAGTCAAACTAATTTCTCGTCATGTTTTACACCAAGGTCTGCTGACTTGTGGCCAGAGGGCAAATCTAGTTTAGAAACTGGTAAATGGTGTTATACTGTAAGCGTAGAAATCCCTTGGAGCCCCCTCACAAAAATGGCAGTAGTCAGCAGTACTAGGTTAATTTACTGCAGACCACCGAGGCTCTCTCTTTAGCAAACTACGTTTTCACATTTCACAAAGTGCTCTAAAGGTTTAATAGAATTCTTCAGAGCACAAAACAGATTTGGATCCCATCCTTTAGGAAATTATACAGTGGGATTCATTTAAAAATGCACATTAAGCTCTTTGAACAGTTCAGAATGTTTTGTTCTGAGATAATTTGGCCAGGTCAGAGATATCGCCCCTTGATTTCCCATCATATGGCACAAAAGAGATGTGACACCTTTAAGAAACTGGAACCCCTACATTTTGGGGGTTTCTTTGGGGGGAGGGGGAAGAGAAGGGGTTGTTTTTGTTTTTCTTGGCACATATCTTTGAACATATGCAATGCTAAAAATTTTTATTCACTTTTCCTTCAGGATCATGCTATGTGTCTCGAAAGGGCCAAAAAAAAAAAAAGCAACTCAGTGTATGCCTTGCCTTATGTCACTGACATGAAAAGCCTCGGGACCTTTTCACTGCTCAAGAAAAGACTTTAATTTAACAGCACATTTAGCTCAAAGTATTGTTCTTTCTCTTGCACAATATCTCACAACATTTATTATGTGCCCCAGTAGAACAACAACAACCAGGAGACTCTGATTGCAGTGTTTATTCCGTCGAAACAACTGATGCAGATTAAAAGCACAGAGATGGAAAATAAATCAACACATTCCTGATTTTTTTTCATTAGAATTATTATTGAAGAGATACTTTCTGCTATTTTGCCTGAAGTGGATGAGATCTAAGTCCATGGGTTT